AATTAATAGTGTCTATACGAGCCCATTATTCAAATGCTTCCCTCGTTAAAGGCTATTACTTTTGTTTTCGATATTTAGTCTTTGTAAGATAGGGTACTGCTAATACCTAACCACTAAGTTTCATTTGGAATTCTGTCTCAAACAGCGTAATCAGCGCCTCCGACCTACTATTCTGCGAGTATATAGCAAGTGCGTTATGGGCACACAAAAAGACAAAATGTGCGTACCCTATCGACCTGTGTTTAGACATAAACGTTTTTGTGGCGAAACGTTCATGTTAAAAACAAATGGTACCTGATGGCTGGATTGCGAAAAAATAACATAAACAACAGTTAACAGCGACTAACTTCCTGGGCTAGCGGAGACGAACATCAAGAAACGAGCAATTTGATTTATTTTTTTTTATGAAGGAACGACAATTGGCATGTTAATTGCATACAGTATATATCTTCATAAAAGCAGTTAGCACGCTTTATTTTATGCATTTCCCGTTTTGGTGTATAGTTGTGTCGTATAGATTGTAACTTTAAATTAATAAAAATTTGCTTACTTTCCCATAATTAATTTAAGCTGAAACCCCGTGTCATTTAGACAGACTATTCAACGATAATCTGTAAGCTTGAGAGAATGAAGACAAGCCGCATGAACGATAGATTTACTTATATCCTGATATTACTAGTGTAAGATCGTCGTAAAACGTTAACAACGCCTTCTGTCTTCTACGATCGCCGCACACCTTTCTCGAACCCTATATCAAAATCTGCATGGCACGGTATTACTCACATTAGCCAATGCTTCGAATCCAAACACTTAGCGTTCTCGCAACGTAATGAAATAGATCATCGAAGGTAATATTGCCTTTCAGAGTGTGGCATCAGGATACTAACGGTTCCTTGAGATCTTTTCTGCTGCCATGGCATTATATGAAACAAATCTACAGACGGAGAGTACGACGGCAGTACGTTGCGAAACGGTCACTATCTATTGTTTTCCTCCTTATTCGCAGAATCATACTGGTCTTCTGGCTTTGCAGAAATGTCTCAAAATGTGCACGATGTTCGCTACCGACTTGTAAATAGCATTTGAAGCCTTTGGGAGGCACCGATACACCGAACATAGCAGACTCATACACAGCTTAAAAGGATGCGTCGGTATCGGAGGTGGGAATAGTGGCCGATTTCAGATCTGTTTAGGCCTACCGATATGCTCGAGTATGCCAGCTCGCTAAAATGCTGTTTATCTGTGCCCCCAATACAGATTCTGGAGCAGAGGTTTTCTAGCAATGATAGCGACATCATCCCATCTGCCTCATGCTAGTTATACAAGATACGGCGGTGTGATGTAACAGTCATTTGCTTGTTAACGATTATCAGTAGTAGGCTTGACGTACTCCACATCCCCATGTAAAGAGCCGCAAAAAAATCGATAATTGGTAGAGGTGACACTTAATGATAAACGCGAATGGCATTGGCCGGTGCAGGGTATAAGCACTACGACGTCGAGCGATCGTTCGGGCTCTTTGTTTGTTTGCACGCGCTACTGCGCAATGAGTTTTTCGATCCACGGCGATAATGAAAATTTTAGTACGTTTTGACGCTTAGCTCAAGCGATATGGCTGCATCCTGAAATAGACTCAGCTATGACAATTTGCAGATACCACAAAAGGGCATTAATGTCTGTCGTCGTACCGTTTCAAAAAAAAAAAACGTCGATGTAACCTTTTGATGCACCCTACGGATACTTGTATTCTTCTGCGGTATAATTTTACGACACACTTTCCTGAATACAGGCACCGACATAAAATAGTCTGCCTCGTAATTTGTAAAGTACTTCCCATCACCAAAAAAAGCTTTAAATCCGGCTTGTGAGTTTACACAAGTCTTTCATGCATCGGTTCGTCCAAGCAATCAATTTAAAAATGGGTCCACTGCACCCATTAGATCTGCAAGTGACTAATTCTTGGCGATTCCATAGCGAAGTCTTACATGGCTTCCCTTCAGGGGTGCAATGAAAAATTCGCGTTTCATTTACGGTTATACATTTGCAACAACTTCTTTAAGATTATACAGTAATGGATCCACATAAGAGCTGAAAACGCTATTTCGGCATCGGTTGACCCGTTGTGGACAAATAGTGCCGTTTTTTATAAGGAGGTCGTTTCACATGGTCTGTGCATCACTGTATATACACATGCATATCCACACGGCCAAATCAATCTTGATACCTTTGCCAACCACTCCATTGTCGATATAGCGTATCGGAGCTGTCGAGTCATACTCTCGCACGTTTCCACTGTGTACGACACATTCAACGGGAGCTTCGTCACCGTCAGCTCGAAGCACTCGACTCCCGATCTCCTCCCGGACTGTTTTCCGCTGTGGAGTCCACTGCTTGCGCCTCGTATTGTTCCACGACGGTGGTTTCTTCAACTCGGCTGTTCAACTCGGGACCCCCTATCATATTCGGTCAGATTTTATTGGATTCAGCGACGATTCGCGGATGGCCCTCCGAGTGCTGCTGATAGTAGTGTGGCCCTTTATGCTTTTGTCAATGTTCGTATTTTTGTCTTTTCTTCCTCCGCGAGAGTGTATAACGAATACTATACAATCAACAATGGCTGTTAGGCTTACTGTAGTAAACGAGCCAGGCTCGTTGGTTGGAAGCTAAAGGGGGCCCAAAATACCTCATGAGAGAGCCTATCGGAATAAGCGTTAGTAGCCGAGCTCTCGTGTGGGTTGGAGTGCGTCTTTCTCCCAGTAGACAGTGCCGAGTGGTGTTTGCAGTACCCAGCAGAGTGTGCGGAAAGCAACCACACACACACACACACACTACACACACACACACACACATAGTAGAAACCATTTATCTTCACACTACTGCGACGATCGTAACACACTTAACGCAGAGCTGTTACCAGCATTCTTCCAGCTGAGCTAACGAGACCCAGATACACAGTAGGCCAACGGCGTATGCTATTGTATAGGAGCATCATTAGATACCAAATGATCATTGGCATTGGGCAGCGCGGCACGTGAGTCGGTGCGTGACGATTGTAGATGCCAAGGAAGCCTGTTAATATACAATTTCTCCCCTTTGTGCGCCCCTAATTTCACCACGCACGGAAGTCTATCTGTACCGAAAAAGATTCTGCAGAGAAATAGTTGCTTCATGAGAAAACAAACAGACAATACATATTAGCAAAGTGTGGGAGGCACGACGAAATCGTTCGTATTGCCTGCTTTCGTAACGTCCCTATCGGCAATGTGTCGGATACATGAAAAGTATGCAAAACTGCTAATGTGGTCATACATACATTAGATACTGGATCAACGTCTTCCATGTACCTAGCTGTCCCCACATATTCAACTATGGTCATAATTTTGTGCGTGTGTGTAAGTATTAGTGTAATAATGAGGATCTCCCTTTCATTAATCAACAAGTCTTTTGCCGATGCGTGTCGTTGTGATCAGTCACTTTTCATTCTGTCTAATCGCTACGATTAAGTACGGTAACCCTAACGATTGCGGTCAAGGTAAGACGTCGTCGCACTAACAGCAACTGGTCTGGCTTCGTGGCGCCTTACTTTAATGGGAATGCTTAAAAAACCTGCCGCCTTCCGATGGTTCGCGTCACCCTCTTCATCTACGCAGACGCACAGCAGCTGCATTGACCACTAATAACAACCTATTCGTTAGTCCTACTATTTGTAACGGATCGCTGCCACCAGTAGAAACTCATATGGGTTCTGTGCGAACGTTACTGTTCTGTTTTCGAAACCACCTACAAACTACCTCTGTGTCTACTGTACAATATTTATCTCGTGTTTTCAATCGCAGAAAGATGTTGGATTTGTAATGAAGTCGCTCATCACTTCTGCTCTCATGTAGCGGAATTTTTCAGCGTGCCTGGGTAACCTCGCTCACTCCATTGAGAGTTTGCCATTCGAACCGATCGTGAAGGCAACAGCGAAATTCGTTAAAATCTGTCGACACGTGTCGTCGTTTGTTTTGTTCGAAGGGTAAAGAGATTTTTGCTGATCAATGCAGCGGGATTGGATACGGGCCTTGCTTCCTCACAGCCGTTCGTTATAATAACGTCGACATTCGTGGCCCACGTTCAGAACTGTGCATTTTCGAAATTATGCGCACGAAAAACAATGCTATCAATACTATTATACAGTGGCAACAATGGATGAAGCATGAATGAGTCTTACATACATCTCAGGTTTAACATAAGCGCGTTATTGAAAAAGGCAGAAGCTGGGAGACAGGAAAATTATAAACTGCTTCAACGTCCGAATCTGGGGTAACCCTGTAAACTTGTTTTAAGAGAACAGTTAAAAATTCAAACCTAAAAATCCACTGTCTATATTTACCAGGTAAACTTTGCAGGAAGAGCTACTAGAACGTGACGCGTCCGAGCTTGAATCCTCCTCAAACGTGCGAACTACGACGCAAGACAAAGAGGTATACTAAGCATATGGGCAGTTAATTTCCATTAATTCACTCAAAATGTTTAGATAAAATTATGTATATTGCTTTGTAGTCCTAGTAGGACAAAGAGAACACCAACACTTCGATTGTCATTATGATCAAGTTTATCACACCAGCTTTCAGATGTTATCTCGAAATTATCTACACCAATTGAAGCTGAATGGCGAATGCGAAAGAGCCATTCATAGACAAATAAATTGTCACCGATATACCCAAATGTCAGTGGATAAAAAAGAAAGGAAAATTCTCGGCCGGTTCTCAACCCATAGGACCCCCCTTTGACAATGTGAGGAAACGGTCTGCTAGCTTCCTCCCGGAGCCGCTATCTCGTTATTTTACTCTCTATACACACCACTAGCTTAGTATCTACCCGTTATAAAGAAGATTGCTCCGGATTATCGCGCCCGACCACCAGCAGCTATCGACACGCCGGAGCGTCCTCTCGCCCAACAAGCGCTTGGCCGGATGTCGGCTCTCGGCTAACACTTCGTACGCTATCATCGGTTTCACTGGTTTCGTAGCATTGCCTCTGATTGTCGTCTGTATCATGATGAAGCAAAGGCGGTGGCTTCAATGAGCCATACGACGCGACTCAACTACGGCTGACGATTCGGGCTAAGGCGATAAACGTCATTCGTGGATACTCGACTGCTGCCGGCTCGTCTCAGCGTACACTTCGATGACTGCGGCACAGGCGACGCTGTTTCAACAGTCACTGCGAAAAGATGTAATTTAGTCGAATTATCTATGACGGCAGGCGTCAAGACGAATTTTGGCGTGCTCCTTCGTTTTTCAGTGACTGGGAACTCTAACCTGCAGAGGTATTATCTGACAGAGAAATCATTCTTGCCGTATACGAGTGCAGGTGGTGCGTGATTGATTACAAGTAAATTGCTACTGGACATTTACATCTTTCTGCAGTGAATTCGTCCCGTCAACTTCTGGTGACTGTGCTCTTGATCGTAAGTTCGTTTGCTTTGATAGAGGTCCGAAAAATAGAAGGGTACCTGAAGTACGTTTTTCTGTGACTTCGATAAGCTGCATCGTCAAATTAGTGACATTGATATGAAAGGAAATTGCCTCAGCTGTTGTGATTCGTTACCGTATGAAAACGTATAAACATAAATGTAGTATTGTCATCAATATTCGATATGTCTTGTTAGGATACTGCATACAGACGTAAATATAACTTATTTGTGCATGTCCATACGGATAAACTTGGAAGCGTCTCCTTGTCTGCTTCATGTCTGCGCGATGCGAACCCTGGACAAACTTTTTTTACAATGTTGTGTGTCGATTGTAGGACTTTGCGTATGCTTCAAGCAAACACGACACGCAGTTATTTATGGTCGTGATTAAAAATAAGCTACAAAAAATAAATGGAAGTAAGGTCTTCTCTTACGGGATAAGAGGGTCTTCGGGCATGCAAGCTAAATGGACTTAAGGTCCTTTCTAATATGGGATTTTAACTACATGTCGATACCGCTCACGATATCATTACTGGTTCCACATTTTGCTAGGCACCTTTTCTTTATCACTCACATTTTCAACAGGTAGTCTACGCTACAATGCGTAATAGAGTAGGAACGTTGTGGAATGTTTTTGCACAACAGGCGGCACGATAGCCGATTCGATATGGAAGATTAGACCTTCTGTGTGCTACAACAGCACGATAATACGCGGATCGCTATATTCCGTTGTATTCCATTTGTCGAGCTTTGCTTTCTATCTTTTTTACTGGATAATGACTACGATGAGGCCAGTTTGGTCTGCAACCTTGACAGCCTTCAGACACTCGTAGCGTGCGTGTGGGCGGCCTATTTTTTAGAAGACACGAATGTCGTAGCCATTAAAACTTGATGTCACCACGTCCATCAGCTCCTGGCCATGGCTTGCGAATGACGTTGAATCGGAAAAAGGAAGAACCGGCGGCAGCCTCAGTCGAATCATTTCCGTTATGTTCTTTATCAGGAGAAAAAAAAGAAGGCAATAACAAAACCACAGAGACGCAAAAGGTCTTGTGTTGAAGGGCATGTTAAAGATCCCCAACAATCTTTACCTCGATCCTTGTCGCGACTCCCGTCATTCCCATGGGTTTGCCATAAGTGAAAAACAAGATAAGTGTCACGTTAGCGGAAACAGGTGATGTAAATTTAGGTTACCAAATAAAACCAGCTCCGCATCAACTAACCTTCAGTGATCGTTTACTTTTGTTGTGACGGATAAAGAGAAATTATCTATACGGATGGTTGTCTTTGCGGTTTCGCGCCCCTCTAAAGCCTGCGCCGGAAAAGTTCTTAGCCTCTAATTCTGGCACACTTTCGTTTTAATTTGAGTACTTTCGATGACAAAAATGTCCACTACTTTTCGCAAATTGTTGAAGTAGCATTGTGTGAATGACCGACCTTAAAGGTTCCTAGCTTGCGTCGCGCAATCCTCCTGAATTTCTTAAATCCCTTAGAGCGCCTTTCGCACAAACTGCTAAAACGACACGTGTATATATATATGGGTTTTAGGTATTGGGTACAGGCACCCACGCCCTTTGAGGTCAGATCAACCTATCAGTAGTTGTGAAGAAAGAGATCAACTAAGATTTTCTGAAAATGTGACTGATTCGAAGAAGCTCATAAGCTACGATTACACGTTAGTACGTATCAGTTTCGCCGGACGATTTACCATTGGAGAGTGAGTTTGTTTTAATTTTATTGTCGAATGTCTTCGTAAGAAAACAAAAAAACTCACGTTCACGGCGTTGCGTTCCCGATACGGATGTAAATAACCCGTTATAGTAGTATATTGTATGTGGTCATTATTATCTATACAATTTCAGTGCCGCCTCAAGACGCGTTCGATATCACTGAAACGTTCCTAACAAGTAGCGCTGCTAATGCCACGTAATTAGATGTTTTTATGACCAATTCAAGTCCTCCTACCCCCTGCCTCTTGATGGGTGTGCATAGATAACGCTCAGCTGGAACCGAGTCATTGTTTGTTTACAGTTGTTAACTACCGTATATCTCCATATATAAGGCAATCATCAAACATATGTAATAAATGCGAACTGATGTCGTATGTAATTTAGGAAACCCGTTTCCCTGTCCGTCTGCTAGTTGACAGACTAATACTGTCTATTTCCTTGTACTTCGTAGCAGAGCGTGAAAAGATGAGAGTATATAAACAAAAACACTTTGCACCTACCTTTATGATAAATAACGATATAAGTCAGGTCCATTGCACGAACGGCGCCTGGAGGACAGTTCTAAAAAGGAAATTGTGTCATAAAAAAACTGCTGACGATGAGCTGCGTATTAACTTGTCCAACGTTTTCAATCAATCTGCATCTAACCTTAATAGCAGCAGTTATACATCTGTAATAAATTGAACATATTGACTATTTCACTTATATTCATTATTTAAATGGGTGTTTTTACCGTCTATAAAAGCTATCTGTTTGTGCGGAAATGGGGCATCCGGGTGACACACCTTAAACAACATCCTCGTTTGTTCTATGCAGAAAACAGAAACTGATTTCGGAAACGATCTAACGGTTGCTAGTGTTATATGGACACAAAGAGACGCTGCAGACAATAGCTGATATATATATATATATATATATATATAGCCTTCGCCCGCTCGAATACACGTTGCCACTTTGTTTAGGTAGTAGCTTACTAACCGCGCTGTTCGCCACTGGCCTCTACCGCTGTTTTTTGCTCTTCACGCAAAAAAAGCTGGTACGTAGCTTTGACGTTCGCGAATTTTGGATATCTTCTATAGCTGATAATTAAATAGTAGTGGAAGTCAATGTTAAACGTTCGGGTGCTGTTAGATTGGGTTTCATTGGTTTTTTAGTCGTTAATACGTGTGTCTCATATGTTTTGCAGGCTTGATAATTACAACCTGCCTAGATTGCCTTGATGATTTGGTTAAATAAGTGCGAAGAGGTCTCTGGCGTCAAGCGCTTGCATAGTTGGTTCCTCCTTCCATAAACACACAAGGGTACATAGGGTATCATTCGTTTATTGAAGTGGATCTGATAGGGTTCTTGACTGAGTCCGTACATCTTCACTAATCGAAACAGCTGCATGTAGCCATATTCGTATGGAACACTTTCATTATAGGCGCCACAGCAGCGAATGCGCTTTTAGCTCTATTAAGAGCTTTTACGACGATCAAATCCTATAATCGTTACGTTACCTCTAAAAGATCTAATGACCAGCTAAAAGAAAGATCTCTCTTAAGGTCGATAATAAGAGGTGGTGTAGTTTGAATGACGGCGCGCATAACTCGCCCTAGCAGTTATCAATATGCGGCCATTGCTTGTTCAAATTTCAGCGTGGCCAAATAGTTACTATGGCATATAGTAAACGTGTCTCTTGGAGAAATCCCAAATAAATCCAACACGATTCACCGTGGCTAGGCCTTTTTTTTTTGATATTATACTGAAGAAATAATTCTGAAAAGTTTGATTTTTGAAAATAAAACTAAATTTGCCATCGGGCGAAAACGTAAGCTGGGCTTATCATGCCCAATGCAAGGTGTCGTTGTTTTTATTAGAAGCTTATACGGCAGGTTAGAGCTTTCGAATATAAAAAGACCTTGCGCCTAAAATAACAGAGTGCGTTTATAGGGCGCGAGCCGTATATGACGGTGTGCTATTCACAGTCGTGCCTAAATACCTAGCAAACGGTGAATAAAAAAAAAAAAAACTTATTTGTGGAATCTTCAGGAACCTCGGCGTTCTTTAACATGAGTACATTGCAGGCCGCAATCTGATTCCAGTAACATCAGACTTATGGAATTTTTCCAGAAGAGCGCAGGAAACAAGATCTTTTTTAATTCCCTTGTCCATTCGGCTCTAGAGATTGAAAGGACAATGTCTGATAGAAGAATGATGTCATGTCATGTCACTGGGAATTAGCACGCAGCCGAAAAACAACGGGAGGCAGTAACATACCGGAAGGTATTATTAGAAAACTAACGATTACTTGCTTCAGTTTGGGGTTCTGTCAGGTACGTAACTTGAAACATGGGTTTTGTTGGAGGTAGTATGTTTTCAACACTTAACTGACATATGTTGATGATATGCTGGCGGTAAAGCGCTCACTTGATGCTCACTGTGATTAGCCGTGTGCTCGAGACATCAGTGCTTTCCTATGCAGCTCTTCATATACGTCCTTTTGGTTACTCACCACGTATACGTTGCAGCCAATAAATAGACGGTTATCCGTCGCCACAAAGGTATTTCTTCGTTTCACTGCCGAGAAATGGAAATGCTCATCTGATGAACTGTCAAATTTTTCTGATTTCATAAAAACGAGATGTCCCTTTTCTTCACACCTGCTACATCCAGCTCTATCTGGCTTAATTACTACCGTGGCATCAGCGGCCTACATGTACAAATTGGAGCTATTCAATAAAGTACAACTGTCATTGAAACTGATTAAACCGGGGTTTCTACTCAACGTATTTTCTAACTTACATAAGAAAAATTGAGCCATTCGCCTTGCACCTATCTGCGACAACACACACCCAGTACAGGCGTCACAACAAATCACCCCAAGAGGAGCCAGGTGCTCAAGTGTTGATTAGATACCTCCACGGTCTGCAGAGGTTCTCACGTACCTCAGTGTAACAACGCTAGGTAGCTACAGTATGGTTCCTGAAGCAATTGGTTTTGGCCTGTTCGTGTGTACTAGCATATGAATATGAGTGAAACCGATGGGTGACGATGGCCAAAATGACTTGTTTGTTAAACAATAGAAACACATTTGTGGCCTACCTGAATAAGTCAACTGTTACATTGAAGTCGCATTCATACATAGAATCTACTTTACTCTAAAAGGCAAATTCTCATTTAAAAATATGTAGACTTTTCAGCGTTGTTGTATGGTGCATGGATGTATTGTACAGTGGATCAACAAACGAAGTTGTTCAAAACTGCTTTGTTTGTTGTAAGCTA